GTTTACTGAGTCAGTCCTTATCCAATGTTTAATTCCTTTTTTTTTTTTTTAATAGAACCACAAATGGATGTTTGCTTTTCACTGACACTCTCCTTCCTCCATTCTTGTGGCAACATTCACAAAGACAGTGAAATATTTAAAAAATTATTCACAGAGTCAATTTGAGAACCCGCCCTTTACTTCCTTTTTAAATTGTGTTCCAGTAAACTCGGGGCTCTGATGGATGTGAGATATAAAAGGATGCATTCGGAGCTTTTGTACTAGAATGTGCACACAAATTTGATTTTAATTTCTTCTGTCTTTTGTTTTTGTTTTAAATATTACTATTGGTGCAATGAATGTCATCTTTTTGTCATTTAAAACAATCTTTGTAGCTGAATCTTTGTATAGTAAATTCTTTTTCTTATGCTTGTCTTGTCCTTCCAAGGTCCAGTCAAAAAAAAAAAAAACTTTAATCAAGAGTGAACCCACTACCTGCTCTCTGTGTGACTTTTATACTAAATATTCAGTTTTATAAGGCCAAATTAGGAATTTAAAAAAGATGGTAAATATAACATAGAAGCCACTTTGCCATAATTACTGGATTTACAGGTAATAAAGTTAATATTTTTCCAATCTACACAGTAATGTAACAGTGAAATACCTGTTTTAAAGATATTTTTATGATAAATATTCAAAGTAAACTTTGATAAATTGTATAAACCATCCATCAGATTCAATTTTCCGGGCACAGTGCCATATATTTTAAAAGGCGCCTATAAATAAGATGTGTTTTTACTATTACTATTATTATCATTATTATTGTTATATCAGTGACTGTTGTTCACCCTGTCTATTTTGTTTTTAAGGGTTCAATGTGACATGTTTTCTGTAAGTGTATGCCTATGGAGTTCTTTCTGTGTCTTTCTTGGTGTTTTTGTTATTTGTTTTGTTTTTTTCTGTGTGGACAAACTTCATTTACAGTCTGTTCCTCTGCGATATGTGACAGTTAGAGGAGCCTGTTGACTTTTAGTTCTCGCAACTCCAATGAAACTCAGGCATCCATTCTCAGATGTACATAGTCATTTTTGTTTCCTTGTGTTCAACAAATATCACCATAAGCTGTTTTTTTTTTCTTCCTTCCTGTCCTGGTGTCTGTGAAATAAAAAAAAAAACTATTTTATCACACTTCTATTCCTTTTTTTTCTCTTTTGTTTCCCATGAAAATTCAATGTTATGGTTCACTAACCTTTTGTCCGTAGTTTCCATTATCTTTTCAGTACAGCTGCGCATTTGTTTTATAAAGCTTATCTACTTCCTTGTGTATCACAGTTTATTCTTTGGTTGTTTGATGGAAAAAAAATCCAATTGTCTAGAGTTACTCAAAAAAAAAGATGTCTGTTATTGTTTGGTCCTTTGCGTTGTGTAAAAGCTGAAAGAATTTCCCCTTAAGGCCTTTTCTCTTTGAGGCAGTTTCTGACGTCTAAATGCTTAAGCTACCTTTTCTTGTCTTCGTGACAAGGAATTTTAAGATGAATAATTAGAAGGAAATAACCCCGATATTCTCATCACACTTTGACAACAGTCTTATTTGTGGTGCAGGGGGGTTTAGCGCAAAGATACTTTGTCGTAGACAGACAAAGTTGGTGGCATCAGGTAGTGCTACTAATAAAGTCAAAGAAGGGTGATGAATATCTCTACACCATGCAAGGAAATATAACATAAAAGGCAACGTTTGTGGTGCAAATAAGACAAGTCTTCATTGTGGCTCTCAGTGCTTCTGTTTATGCCTATCATAACAGCCGTACATTATAGCTCAGAAACCTTTGATATTTAAATCTCATAGTGTACTCGGTGCAGTCGGGCGTGACACTCTCAGCCAAATAAAGAGCTATAATCTTGGTGATAAAAGGAAAAAAATGCACAGATTCATTTTCCAATCTGCGCTTCTGTTTGAGCAGTGTAAATCAGTTGGAGCAAGTATAAACGTACTGTGAGTGGAATACACACAGTATTGTATTAGCACATTAGCACAAGGGCTTTGTACTGACCCTATAGGTCAGTTTAAGACAATACCACTTAGAAAGATAAAAGCTGTTATTGCTCGTGTTTGCCATCGTTAGTTTATAAATGGAGGTAACTGTCTTATGTTACCAACAGTGAGCTTTGCCAAGTAAGCCTTTTGGTTAATGTATCTCAGACCAGACAATTACTGTATATGCTTAGTGTTTCATAGCTGTGCACTCAACTGTGCTTAACGAGGGATCTTAGAACATTTATCCCACCAGGCATGCACTGTGAAGCAGGATTTTGTCTCCGGTAATGTCAGGGTTAACCTTGGCTTTTTAGGACTATGAAGGTGGTTCGTTTCTTATCAGGGTTTGTCACTACAGTAACTTATGCTGGAGCAGGGCCTGAAAAAGTCAACAATCCTTCACAGATACAAACATTCACAATCAGTTTTGAACCAAACTTCCTTTGTGAGGTTTGAACCCAGAATCTCCTTGCTCTAAGGTGACAGTACTAACCACTGAACCAAAGTCTTATTAGACCAAAGGCTGCATTTATCTGGTTTTTTCTGGGACACTTCACTAAAACTTTTCTGGTAAAATGCTGCCTCCTGGTGGTGAAAGGTTAAGACTGGCAGTTTGCATATTTGCCTTTCACACAAAAAGATCTCTGGCCTGAGCTAGTGTACTCCTACTGCTGGACGAAAGCCCAGAAAAATAGGATTGTGTCAGGATGTTAAATCAGTGCCAAATCAAACATGTGGATCCTCTGCAATCCCGTGGAAAACAGGGGAACAGCTAAAAGTATGCCCACCCCCCTCATTTCTTTATTTTTGAGCAAATAACCAGACCTTACCCCGTGACGAAAAACTTTCAGAGCCCTTAGAGAACTTCAGAAAGATGCAAGTCATTATACAAAAACACAGCAAATATACACAGGATACATTTTATTGAGATAAAATAACACTACATTAAAACTATCTTGTTACTATATACTTTACTATTAAACAAAAACATATTTGTCCAAAAATACAAAACATTATTTTAAAGCACAAAACTTAAATAGTGCAAATTCCAACACTTAAAGTCATATGGTAAACATAAAAGAGAAAATGACACTGGCAGTTAAAGTGGGACAACAGCCAGCGTGTAAATTCCTTCCATAAGCACTAAACTTCAAGTTAAATAAGTGTAAAGTGGAGGCCGGTGCTCTGTTTGCCACTGTTGAAGCTGTTTTTCCGCATCCTGGTAGTCATAAGCAAAGCTTTACAATGCCTTTGTCTTCTATGTTGGTTTTGTTTTATTTAAAACTCCAGTGTTACTCAACGCTTCTGTTACTCAAACAGTTGTTTCCGATCCGTTCTGTGACCCTTCCAAGAAAGTAGCAACAAAACAGACAAGCCTGTAATAAATCAAATAAAGAGCACTTCAAACTATTATGTACCAGCAAGTTTGTTTGTTTTTCTTCCCCCAAACAATGAGCACTTTTCAAACTTTCTCCCCCTCATCCATTATTTTATTTCACAATCACAACTAAATATTCCTGACTTACCTCCACTTACTAATGGAAATAAATAAATAAATAAATAAATAAATAAATAAATAAAGATCATCAAAAGTGAAACTACAGTAGCCACCTAGTGGACAACAGGCACAACTACAACCTTAATCACCAAGCACCAGCTTTACAAAAATGTATCCCTGTTTTCCATCTGGAAACAGACAATTCAAGTCTACCTTCTCTTATACTGAAAGCATGTTGCTTATATTCAAATATCCATTTCTAAACCCACTATAATACAACATTACTAAGCATCATTTAAACCAGTGTATAATACTGTTAATGAGTGTTTATGTTATTTGGTCTACATCTAAAAACAGTGTAATGACAAAAACTCTATATGTGGTATATCTTTGCTGCTGATAATGCAGCAAAGTGATTATAATGAGTGAAAACAAACAGTCCTGCAAACCCCGTTTTCACCGCTGAAAAGCTAAATTTCAGCATATAGACCAGGGGTGTCCAACTCCAGGCCTCAAGTGTCAGTGTCCTGCAGGATTTAGATGTGTCTTTAATCCAACACAGCTGATTTAAATGGCTAAATTACCTCCTCAACATGTCTTGGAGTTCTCCAGACGCCTGGTAATGAACTAATCATTTGAGTCAGGTGTGTTGACCCAGGGTGATATCTAAAACCTGCAGGACACTGACCCTTGAGACCTGGAGTTGGACACCCCTGATACAGACTGTACCTCACACTGTTAGCCATATAAATATGGCAGCATTATGGGAGGAAAAATGCTGGAACCACGCACAGATGATTAACACAGTATGTCCCCTTTCTTCCATTTTGATGATCTAAATCTAAACTCAACTTTTTTTCAAGTTTCACTCCATGCTGTCCTCTTTTCTGCTCATGTTTAGTGTAAAAACAAGATGTCAGTCAGGACACCGAATCACACCGACTTTACTCGTCTGTCACAGTTTTTGCTCAAACGACGAGGGCCGAGCTTGAAGCCGTCAAAGAAATACATAACAGCAGGAAGCCAAAACCTAACTGAGCATCTTTACTACAGCACGTCTTAAAAGGGGATTCATTCCCTTCCTGTGATGATTGACGTGCACAGTAAAGAAGCCTCTGAGCCACATATAACTCACTGTTGGCAAGGTTTCACCTTTGGAATAAGGAGACTTGATGTTATCCATTTCTGTGGCTGGCTCAACTTACCCTACAAACTGATTTCTAAAAACTGACCATTACAGGAAAAGTTATGACTGAGTGCACATTAAGGCTTCTGCAGGCAGGAAAATGAAAGTTGCAGTATGTTGACATGCTGGATATTACAAGCATTAACAGCCAAAGACAACATTTTGTTTAGCTGCTGGTAATAGACATGGGAAATAAAGAACCGCATGTGGGCAGATTTTTAACGTACTATAAAGAAAAACAGTTTTGAGGTGCACTAAGAGTGAAACTGAAAGACGTCTCGCAGAGCCTGGAATTGATTTTGCCTTTGGTTGACGTTTCCTTCAGCGCCCTTTGAATGAGGCTGGATAGTGACAGTAAAAGTGATGAACCTCCATCGGGGTTTAAGTCTGTGAGGTGTTGTGTAGGTGAGCAAAAAGTTGGGCAGGCCCTGGTAAAAAAGATATGAGTAAAAAGAGGGTTCACATCTTTACATTTAGTCCCTAGGTTATTGAAGAGGATTCTGATACAAATCCATGCCATGAAAAGGAAAACAAACAAACAAACAAACAATAACAGTGATTGGCACTTATATTGGGATGTTCCCATTTCAAAAAGCTAATTTAGTATTTTACAGCCATCTCCACCAATGAAAAGTCAAACGTTTACTGCTTTCCTTATAATATAATGAGCTTTCTCATTCTTTGTGAGAAAAGAAAACAAAAAGTTTTCATTATTTATGTCAAATGAACTGAAAAATGTCTTCATAGCCATATATACGTGTTCTTCAGAATTTAAAGGTATTTGATAATTATTTTAAATAGCTAAGAACATTTTTATCCAAAGGTGATCCAAAGTTGGTGATGCCTTAAACATCGATGGCCACCCCGTGTTTAGTGAATATCACATCTCTGGTTCCCGTCAGGTACATGAGCACTGAACACAGGTGAGGGAGCGTCGCCGTGGTGCTGACGTATAACCAGTATGGGATCGGCGCCGTGTTGCCGAATGGGCACACCCACAGGCCGTGGCGCACTGCATCCCGGACGTGGTGTGTCACCATGGAAATGAAAAGCATCCATGGCAAGGAGCACCAAGCGTCTTTGAGGCGCCCGAGCCACATGAGGAAGCGGAGACTGAGACAGATGATGGGAATGAGAGAGGAACAGTGCAGCGGTGGACGCTGAGGGAGTGAGACAGCAGCCTGGAAGAGCAGTGAGAGACGGCGTTAGCACCACATATATCCTTTGGAAACATATCAATCCATGTCAACAGTGTTCTGTACTGTGGAGATCCTGTCATGAGTAGAGATGGACCGATCCGATATTACGTATCGGTATCGGTCCGATACTGACCTAAATTACTGGATCGGATATCGGAGAAAAATAAAAAATGTAATCCGATCCATTAAATATCACGAAAGCACCTCACATACGCCGTAACTCACCTCAGAACGTTAGCACGTCGGAGCAGTATGCATCACGTGATAGAGTGGCTGTGGCATGCGGGACCTGTCGGTGGTCTGGATAGCATTTGGAGCTTCGCTAGCAACCTGGCATTTCATCTCCGACAAAGTTATCCCCGAGAGAAGTAAAGCAAGTCGTGTAAGTCCATCTCTGAATGTTTGTAAAGCATTCCTCGCTAAGCTTAACGAGCGACTGCCTCTCGCTCTCCGGCTGTACTTCAATCGTGAAACTGCTTAATGATCAGCTGATCAGCTTTTCTGTCGCGAGTCTCTCTTGTTTTTTTGGTCCCACTTGCGCCCAGAAAGAGGAAACCAGCGGCTGAACAACAGCAGCACGTTTAAGCTTGATAAGCTGTTGTTAGAATTTATTTAATATTACTTTCTACACCAGGATCGTTTTCTACGTAGCTGACGCTGGTAACTGTGCAGGGGCGGATCTAGCAAAGTTTAGCCAGGGGGGCCGATAGGGCATTAACTGGGAAAAGGGGGCACAAAGACATACTTTTCTTTCTTATTCTCATTTAAAATGTCTAGCTTTTAATAAATAATTATCTGACACCCAAAGTTTTAATTTGATGTAAAATGAATAGAAGTCAATTACTGTATATAGTAGACTATTAAGTCTAATATATATACCCTAGTAAGCTATAGTACTTTTTCCTTTGGGAAGGTACCATCTGTGCAGTCTGCAATTTTGTTGAAGAAAGATGTTGAATCTATTTAATATTTCTTGAAAAATAATTGATTTCTGTGCATTTTTTTTTCACACTGCATCAAATTAAGTTGATTACGTCGATTAAGCATCATGAGGTGGCGCGTGAGGGGTGGTTCCCTATTTTTTATTTATTTATTTTTGTTGTCTGGGAGTTGGAACCCTATTAGTTAGGTTGCTTAATATTTACGCTAAGTACTCTTTAAAATACCAGAATAGGGAGGATGGTGTAGGTTAAGTTTATTAGATTGATCAGTATTGCTGAACTATGAAATATTTTTTTTGCATACAGGTATAACAGAATAGCTTTAGTGTAGTTGTTGTTTTAAACTTGAGTATGAACTTATACAAAATGCAGCAAGATATTTATAAAAAACAGTTTTGTTGATTAAAAAACACTATATCGGATTCATATCGGTATCGGCAGATATCCAAATTTATGATATCGTATCGGTATCGGACATAAAAAAGTGGTATCGTGCCATCTCTAGTCATGAGTCATGCTCCAGCACACACACATACACACGTATGAGGTATAGGGCTGCCACGATTAGTCGACTAGTCACGATTACATCGACTATCAAAATCGTCGACGACTGATTTAATAGTCGACGCTCGTTTGAAGCTTTGTAAGATCACAAAAGACGCAGGAATAAGTAGAGGATTTAAGAGTGTAATAACGGACTGAAACAGAAGATGGCAGCACTGCATGTACAAGGATGCCAGCTGCCGTTAAACCCCGAAGAAGAAGAAGAGCTGTGTCCCAGAATTCATAGCGCGGCCCAGCTCAGTTTCCAACAATGGCGGCAGCTAGTTAGTTTTAATATTACTCTTATTATTCTTTCTGGGTCACAAAATAAACGTTTAACATATTTTCAGGCGAGAATGTAGCTGTGTAAACCTCAAATATCGGCTCAGTTTATCAGACACCACATATTTTCAAAAGCGCTCCGACGTTTTCGAGACGTCTGTTACCCACTAGCTCGATAGCTAGCCGGGGGCTAGGTCACTAGAGCCGTGAGAACACCGGACTCCCGGCAAATCGTTTTCAAACCCACCGCCGTCTTTCGCTACTCAGGTTAAACATGATATATAAGTCACTTAAAAATGTTATTGTTTGGCTTTTTTTTTGTATTTTATTTGTTCCTGAGTAAATCGGTTTGGCTGAGATTAAAGTTATAGTTTTTACACAGCTGAATAAACGTCAAGCAGACAGCTGATTATCAGAAGTGTGAGATGCTCGAGAATATACTCCAGTGTCCTGTTATATTTTAGATAGCAAGGAGCAGACGGCTGAGTTTATTAAACTCCACTGAAACAATCTGCAAATTTAATTAAAATTTAATAAACTATCCTCTTGTCTTTATTTTTAGTTAGCACATACCTTAAACACTTAAAGCTGTAAGCTAATGATAGTTATATAAGAGCAGATGCATGCACGATCTGATTAGTCGACTAATCGCAAAAATAATCGGTGACTAGTCATTATCAAAATAATCGTTTGTGGCAGCCCTAATGAGGTACATCTCTAAATGTATGTATGTATGCATATGTATATGTAGATGGATCAACTGACAGGTCAGATGCGTCTCTTAGATCTTTGCTGGAACTTTTTGGATTTATATGACCTATAGAAGCTGTTCAGTTTTTTCACACTGCACACCATGCTAAGATATACCAAGTGTTTAGCTAATTGCTCTTTGAGAATCACTTTGTTGGTGCTGACATACAGTTTTATGCCTGTCAATTAAACTGTTATCTACTGTCTGTGTGTGTGTTCTCTATCAGTAACACAATGAAAGAAGTTACTAACATTTTTTTGTAGATTCAACTAAAGAAATGAGAACCAATGCTGTGTTTCTGCCAGTGAAAGTGTCTAAAGATACAATTTAAATTTTTGATACATTGCTACACTGTTGGGCTGAAAGACCAAAAGAATAGTCAATATTTCAATGATGTAATGGATGACAGTCATTTTTTAACATACATATAAAATGAAGTAGTATTTTTCTTGGTGCGTCACCATAGCTCACCCTGTGGATTGTGCTATGTTCCCGGCATAAAATCCATATCAGAAAAGCCCAGATTGAATTCTGCCCCAGGCCTGTTACTGCATGCCACTTACTTTCCCATCATTTCTTCTGTGTCTAACTGTTGTTATGTAACAAAGGCAAAATACCCCCCAAAAAATCTTTTTCATAAGGATCCAAACTTATTAATATTCAGTGGCCATTTGGAGTAGAAACCATTTGCACTCCAGCATTGGTTCTCCTGGCTCGCTCGTTTGATTTAGCATCCCCGTGGATTATCTGACAAAGAAACTGAACACATTTACAAGAAAAACATGGCTGCTGCCAAACACAAACACCTACAATCCCTGATAAATAGCAACTTATGAGGCTTAAAAATAAAAACAAGTCTGTGAAATTAAAATTTTCTGCATGGGTTGTTTCAGTGTTTTCTCTCAGTGGGAAGGTTATAATGAACATTGTGTCCTGTAATCTACTATAATGGCACATGTATGGGTGCATTTAAGACTTAATCACTAAATAATTAGCTCTCCAAGAGAAAGGTGAAGGACTTAGGGAATACTTTGTACCCTATCATTTGTAAGCTTATTAAGCATTCAGATTAACCCTCTATGGCGAAAGTCTTACCTTGAGTGATAAGGATCCAGCCATATAGAAGTGGTCCAGGTCTATGATTGATGCCAGGAGCCCTGCGAGTAACACCTCATATAAATCGCTCTTTTTCCTCAGTCCAATAACAACCGCCCATGACCACAGCCCCACCAATCCGTGCGTGGCGTTGTCCAAGACAGCACGCAGCCACAAGTGTTGCTGTATGACAGACAGCTGTAGGACGTGGTCTGCCACCACACAGAACATCCCGAGTCCTGCCGACGCCAGCAGGGAGGCGGAACTGAAAGTCTGCAGGAGGGCCTGAGCTCTCTCCGTCTCCAGAGCCAGGCTGAGAGGTACGGGAGCACCATCTCCCCTGAGGCCAGGTCCCAACAAGGGGGACGAAGAAGGGGAGGAGTCGAGCTTGGAGTAGAATCCTTGCATGTTGTTAGATGGCTGGAGGGGCCAGTCAGCATTAAAGGTCAGCAAGATTCAGGCAAACTGGAATAAAGGAAATAAAATGTTCATCATTCACTGCTTATCTGAGCAAACGTGAAGCAATCTCACACACACACACACACACACACACACACACACACACAGATGCATGTTCATGGACACAAATTTTATTTTATTTACTTATTTTTGGTGACAGACTTTGACACTGATGTATTTTAACAGGAAGCATATTTTTTGTCTTATTTAGATTCTTTAGAGGACACATGTCAGCTGTCCTGAGGGCTTTCTAAAAGCAGCTTCCACTGTATTGCAACTCAAACCTAACTGGGGCATTTTTATAGACAAACCATAACCAATGAGTTCTTAATGATAATAAAATAACAATTAAAACAATCCAACTGTAAAATTCCCACTACCGCCACCCCCATCCTGTCTCCAAATGTGGACAACATTGACTTTTAAAGGTGAAATATATTCATTTGACATGAATCAGTGCATATGAAACTGGACAGATGAAAAATTGAATATAAAGGCATAAAATAAAGGATAATTAATTTTAAATTAATTCATGTATGAAAAGCAGAAAAAAAAAAACCACCTGAAAAATGTGTGTCTGATAAATGAAACTATGGGCTCATTTACCAAACTTCAATGTTATTATTATTTATTTATTTAAATTTTCATACCTATATTGTTTCTGACCATGTCTGTCCCTTTTTGTTGGCTGGCAGGATAAGATGCAACGTTACCAAGCTCAGATCATCAACCTGGTTTCTTAAACACAACAATGAGTTCACTGTACTCAAGTGACCTCCACAGTCGCCAGATCTCAGTCCAACAGAGCACCTTTAGGATGTGACTCACACCCTAAAGCAGGGGTGTCAAACTCAAATACACAGTGGGCCAAAATTCAAAACTGGAACAAGGTTGTGGGCTAACATTAATATTTATTGGAAAAAAAATCTTCCTCCAGATTTAAGAATGAATCTTTTCTTATGGACTCAAACAAGTTTTGCTGAAAAACTGAATATGGAACAAGCAAAGCTTAATACTAAACAATATATATATTAGCTGTATAATACCAGTAGGCCAGCTCTAATAATAATATGGTATGGCTTCGCGGGCCAAATGTAATTAGGCTGCGGGCCAAATTTGGCCCACGGGCCAGAGTTTGACACCTGTGCCCTAAAGGAAATCTCGGAGGAATCTTTCCAGCACCTGCTTAAATCCATACCAGGTAAAAGGGGGAACAACCCAATACTAGCAAGCTGCGCCGAATAAAATGTCCAGTAAGTGCACGTATTTCAGTTACAGATCATACCTATATGAAAAGAGCAAACAAAAACCACTCCGCACCTTCCACATAGGAATAATACCTAATAACAACACATAATAAAGTACTGTGGAGAACTGAACAACAAATACAAAGTTCACACACATAAGACAGTTTGAGTTCCCTGAAAATCCACAGCTTTCCAACACCCAGATTATTTTTTATTTTTTGGACCATGGGGGCATGCAAAAATAGATCTGATGCGTCTCATGCAACTGAGCGAAATGTAGGACAGACTCAAAAGGCGCCCTGCTTTTGTCTTTGACTACCAGCTGATGATGCAACAGCAGTGCTTCTCTTGAAGATGCTCCTATGAATGAAAATTTAATTAGCTGGTTATTTTTGTCACCGGCTAGCGGCTCCAGCTGAAGTCCCTGCCTGCAAAGCTCCTTGCGGTCCGCGTAATGTTTGTTTGACTTGACATTAAAGTCAAACAAACATTAAAGACATCTTAATTAGACCCCATATAAGCGAGCTAAAATAACACCACAGACAGTGCTAGGCGCTACGTGGCTAGTAGTGACAGAGATGCTGCTATGTGTAGGCGGACAGCAGCTGTCACGATTAGCGATGGATTGCACGTCATGACAGGCATCGTCCCCGATTTAAAATTAAGAACAAATGTATAACCGATCAACAAGAGATTTTTTATGTCATTTTTGATGAAACGCTTGGAAAATAAACCAACACTTACCCCATTTCCCTGCATCCGTAAATCTACTGAAGTGTTCACACTTCTTCTGCTGTGTTGTGTTGTAGCGCCAACGCTCAGCGGTGCTTTGCTGCCACTCGCAGGGCATGAGTGGGACCCACCAGCAAAGTATCGCTAGAAGACCAGAAGGGTTTAAATCCACTATATTGCCAAAAATATTTGCTCGTCTGCCTTCTTACGCATATGAACTTGACTGACATCACATTTTAATATGATGTGAATGCATGCTTCCTTTGCAGCTATAGCAGCTCCAGCGCTTCCGAGTGCTTTCCAAAAGGTTTAGAAGTGTGTTTATGGGAATTTGACTATTCTTCCAGAAACACATTTGTGAGTCAGACCAAAAGTATTCTGTCAGGTTGTGTGTCAGGACTCTGTGCAGAGGTGTCAAGGTCTACCACACCAACAATTCTTCAAAGCATGGATGGCCTTTTTCTGTTCCAATTGTCATGTTATAACAGGGAAAGGGCCATCCTGAAACTGTTTCCAGAAAGTTGGGACCATCCCACCTCCACTTTTCACTTGGCACAATGCAGTCAGACAAGTACTGTTGTCCTGGCAACCACCAAACCCAGACTGGTCGGTTGAATTGCCAGACAGAGAAGTGTGTTTTATAAAAACACATCTCCATTCTTAAGTCTAGTGGCACCATGTTTTACACCACTATATCTGAGGCTTTGCATTGCACTTGGCAATGTAAGGCTTGAATGTAGCTGCTTGGTCATGGAAACCCAATCCATGAAGCTCTCTGTGCAGTCTTCTTGAGCTAATCTGAAGGCCACACGAAGTTATGAGGACTGCTTCCACTTGGTTACAACAGATGATTGTGGAATGTTTAGTAGCAAGAAAACTTCATGACTAGACTTGTTGCACAGGTGGCATCCTATCATGGTACCATTCTGGAATACACTGAGTTCCTGAGAGCGACACACTTTTTTACAAATCTTTGTCTGCATGCCTAGGTGCCTGCTTTCTTACGCCTGTGGCCATGTAAGTAATTGGAACAACTCAATTGATTTATTTGGATGGGTGAGTGAATACTTTTAGTAATATAGTGGAGGTCAGGGGGGAAGCAGGGCCTGTATGAAGACAGCAAGCGAGTGATGAGTTCTGGGGTAGAATTGACAGATGGGTTTCAGGAGGGAGTGGGATTATATCATGGACCAACTCTGTGCCTCTTCTTGTTCGCGATGGTTTACAGATGAGGTCAGGCAGGAGTCTTTGTGGACTATGATGTCTGCAGATGATGTTGTAATCTGTAGTGAGAGTAGAGAGGAGGTGGAAGAAAGCCTATAGAAGCGGAGGCATGCTCTGAGAGAAAATGAATAAAAGTCAGTAAAAGCAGGACAACTACAAGACTGAGACAAGTGTAACAGTCACGATGCAAAGAGCAGAGGTATTGTAGATAGATGAGGTTAAATACCAGGGGTCAACCATCATAAGCAACAGACAGTACACAAGAGAGATGATAAAGAGAGTGCAGGCAGGGTGGAGTAGGTGGAGATGACTCAACAGACTGACAAAAGAGTACCATAACACAAGTACAAGAAATACCTTTTAGCAGAAAGGTGATTCAGTTCATGTGAACACACTGCTTCCTGTTCCCACTGTAAACACTGTGAAATGAACCAAACCTTTACCTGGATGACTAAGCATGCATCAAGTGTCATTTGTTTCAGTGGGACAACAAACTAAAAAGCAAACCAGGGAATTAACAGTGCTCTCACTCCAACTGCCAAACTGCCAAGCACTGTTTCACTGTGCTTGGTGCTGCAGAAATATCAAAACATTTAGAGAGGAGATCAGAGTTACATATAAGGAAATGTTCCTTTCTTTTCCTTTCCTTTCCTTTCCTTTCCTTTCCTTTCCTTTCCTTTCCTGTCCTTTCCTTTCCTTTCCTTTCCTTTCCTTTCCTTTCCTTTCCTTTCCTTTCGTTTCCTGTCCTTTCCTGTCCTTTCCTTTCTTTTCCCTATAAATTTGCTAATACAAGTTGCCACAAGAGGGAGAAAGAGTCTACAAAATGTATCTCAACACTTTAAACGAGCACACACCCAAATAATAATAAACACCAAAGGAAATTTTATTAAAATAATAATTTCTTACTTATCACAGTGTTACATTCAGACTTCTCCATTACATACACCATAATCCAAAAATGAAAAAAAGCCTCCAAAATAATAATTTCATGCCTCTAAAATACATTTGGGCTCAAGTTTAATTAAAAGTGCATTTCTGGGGTGAATCCGCAAGGCAGAATAATTCTAATATTGAACCCCGGCTGGCGGAAAATATTAATTCTCATATTTCAAATTAGGCAAACCTGCTGAGTGGAAGGTATTTAAATAGGTGTGTCATTTCAAATCCTGAAACTTACCATGCAATAAATTTTAATTTCACCACTCATATTAAATCCAATTTTAATAATGTCTCTATTAAAGATCCGAGATTAGATCTGTAACGACAGAGTCTAATCTCTTTTAATGGAATGCCTTTAATGTGCCAGTTTCTCTTTATTGTATCCCTGTAGATCAAATTCAATCTAGATGTGTTGGGGTTTTTTCTACATTTATGCTCTGTCTGCCCTTTTTGTATTCTTGTCCCCCCTTTGTTACACCGAGTTCCACTTGCACATGTACTTATCTATTTTATTTTTTTCATTTTTGAGTATTGAATGGTGCTGCAGTGCGCGTCTGCTTTGACATTTGACAGACCATTCTGTTGCACACACAAATCCTCATTTGGAAAACACAAACCTTTTGTGAAATGCTCTGGATTCTTCAGCTTCACAATGTACTGTGCGGATTTCACGGAAGGAAATGCAGACAGCTCCTAATATGATAGACTCACAATATGTGAGTCATCAAGCTTGTGCAGTGAGTTCCTTGATTGATCTAAATCTTGCCTAATTTTATCTGTTCATGGAAGGCATGCCTCAATTCTCCAAGATCCTAACAATCACAAGAATCTCCACAATTTGAGAACGAGGCTTCAATGCAGTGCTTGGCAGAAATATTAGGCTGCAATGTTCCACAGCGGCTGTGCCGAACATGACCTCTCATTTTGTGTCACTGACTTACAATTGCAGTACTTCACAGATGTCAGTGCTGTCAAGTGTTGTCATCAGCATGTGTGAGCTCGATGTGTAAGGCTGACAAGCAATTTGTGGAGCAGGCCTGTGATTGGTTGGACTCTAGATGCGAACATGATTTGGGATTCAAGCCACCTTGCCGTGCAGAAAGTCACTTCTCACGGTGAAACGTTCCTTCTTTTCCTCATTATCCATCATTTCAAGTCACTTTGTTGTGACATGAAACAAGCACCATTAATAACAATGATGACCTATTTTTGTTTTTGAGGACAGATCACAAGAAGTTGATGGCATTTGGGTTTTGCCTCATAATCAAATTCTGTTGAACAAATAGAGTGTGTGTAAGTGTTGGATGTTTCAGGTCACCCAATGACAGGGCATAAAGAACCTGAGATGTGCGTGGGCTTGACTCAGTTAGCACCATGGGGTGACTCGCAGAGACCTAACACTCGGGTTTTGACTGTTTCAGGACCATAGACAGCGCACAGCAAGACCCACTGCCTATGCTGCCATCCAGTGGACAAATGCATGACAATTCTTTAAATAAAGTTGACTATTTTTGCTTTATTTTTTGTGGCTTGACATTAACAAATTAACACAAGACACATCAGAATCAGAATCAGAAACAGAAACAGAATCGTGTTTATTGGCCATGTATATGCGCAAACACATACAAGGAATTTGGTTCCAGGAGTAGATGGTGACTCTCAAGCACAGCAATGTAAATCACAGCAATATGTAAACGACACACACACACACACACACACACACACACACACACACACACACACACACACACACACACACACACACACACACACA